GAATTAATATATAGCATTCGCAGTATAGGTACAATATTACCTTGGATTTTTCTACCCAAAATAATTGCTTCAATAATGTTGCCTATAATTTTTATAATTTTGTACCATATTTTAACACGCTTTTAGTAATTTACGATTTAAATTAATTTTTTTTCACTAATAATTCAATATACATTATTACTTAAGTTTATATTTGAAGTGAATTAATTTATCAAATCCTGTTCACATGTGCCCTATTATCAACAAAATTATTGCAGTAAATGGAGAGGAAAAAAGCGTGTGTCGGAAATAGGCTAATCTTTATCTTACGTTCAGAAGTGAAAACAATTTGCATTTCGTTACAAAAAATAAAAGATACGTATAAAGGTATATAAATGAAATTTCTGAACTTAAGATAAAGATTAGCCTATTTCCGACACACGCTTTTTTCCTCTCCATTTACTGCAATAATTTTGTTGATAGAAGGTTGAATAGAGCACATGTGAACAGGATTTGATAAATTAATTCACTTCAAATATAAACTTAAGTAATAATGTATAATGAATTAATAGTGAAAAAAAATTAATTTAGATCGTAAATTACTAAAAGCCAGTTAAAATATGGTACGTATTTATAAAAATTATAGGCAACATTATTGAAGCAATTATGTTGAGTAGAAAAATCCAAGGTGATATTGTACCTATATCGCGAATGCTATATATTAATTCTTTCTGAATTTGTTATACCTTTTAAAAGACTTCAATTTTCAACATGTGTGTCTTATATATATATATATATATATATATATATATATATATATATATATATACATTTATATATATATATATATATATATATATATATATATAGATAGATAGATAGATAGATACTTTATTCAAATTCAATATTTACAATTTAAGTCAATACAATTATACAATAATATAACTAAACTAATATCAGTTATGGTTATGAACAACTCTAAGATTAACCTAATGACAATTAATATTTATTTTGGATTAAAAAATTCATTAATTGAATATATAGGCTGATCTATAAGATGTTTTTTAACGGTAGCATTGAAACTATTCCTGCTTTTACTCTTCCACTCATTGGGAGCGTGTTGTGGCCATGGACGTCACTCCTCAGTACATGTTTTGTTCTGTCTGCATGGACCGCAATCGCCTGCTGGTAAATGTAAAGGCTGGTAACAGTCAGTATTCTAAATTTAGTAAACAAGGGTCTGCAGTGCTCCCGAGGTGAGGCCCCTCCGATTGCCCTTACAGCCTTCTTCTGTAAATCCATTATCTTGGAGGTATGCACCGAGTGTCCCCATGCCAATATTCCATATGAGAACACAGAGTGAAACATGGCAAAGTAAGCCTCTCTGGCGCATTCCTCATTTATAATGTGTCTAACTCTTCTGATGGCATATATTGATTTTGAGAGCTTAGTACATATTGAATCTATGTGCTTCGCCCAAGTTAGCAGACTGTCCATAGTAAGACCCAAATATTTAACTTCCCCTCCATGCAGCTCCTTATGTCTCCTACTGGAAGTAAAGTTAATATGGACAGTTTTACTATTGTTTAGTACAATTTTGTTGGCTGAAAACCAGTTTTCAACTTGCTTGTGGGCATACTGAATTTTTTCGTTCATATTTGCGATGTTCTCGTCCGCAACCGCCAATGCCGTGTCGTCTGCAAATTGCGTTGTGTGGCAGCTAATGTTCGGTGGTAGATCATTCACAAATATGATAAAAAGAAGTGGTCCAAGAATACTCCCTTGGGCAACCCCTGCATTTAATCTTGCTATCTTACTTCGTTTATTGTTCCATTCCACAAACTGATACCTGTTACATAGGTATGATTTCATAAGTTTAAGGGCTACGCCTCTAAATCCATAATATTCCAGTTTCCTGAGAAATATGTCATGTGGAACACAATCGAATGCTTTGCTGAGATCGCAAAACAGTGCACCACAGTGTTTATGATCTTCCAGTGAATTTGATATAAAGTTCAAAAAGTCTAGCACAGCATCAATTGTGTTAATTTTCTTTTTGAATCCAAATTGATTTTTTACAAAATAATTATTAGCATCGAAGAAGCTTGTAATTCTTAATGCTAACAACATTTCTATAATTTTCGAAAATATTGGCAGTATGGCTATGGGTCTGTAGTTTGCTGCTGATTGACGATTTCCTGATTTGTATAATGGTACCACTCTTGCCAGCTTCATTTTCTCTGGAAAGATTCCTGTGGAGAAAATATTGTTTGCTATCGTGCACAACGGTCCAGCAATGTACTGTGCGACAGATTTTACCATTTTTGTATTAATGCCGAAGGCATCAAACGACGTTTTATTTTTTAAGCGTTTAATCATTGTATTAATTTCCTCTGGGCTAGTTGGATTTAAAAATATACTTTGCCCCTTCACAAATACCTTTGTCAAATAGATATCGGCTGCAATTATTGGCTGGGGCAGATTTTTTACTACATTTATGGCTACATTTTTGAAAAAATTATTGAAGTCTTCAACACTGGGTGCCTCATGACTTATATTATCTGTAAAATTCTTACCAGTTTCCCTTTTTATTATGTTCCAAATTGTGATATTTTTGTTATCAGAATTTATAATGTCTTTTATATTCGTTTGTTTTTTTTTCATGCTCCATCTTTTGGATGTATCGCTTTTTCAGGTTTTCATAGAAATCTTTATAATCGGCCCTTTTTGTTTGTTTAAATGCGTCATATGCTAAGTCGACCATTTTCTTCAATTTCAGGACTTCTAAAGACTGCACTGGTTTCCATTTCCGTTTGATGGATACTCGTCTGCACGGAAATGCATTTAGAGCTATCTTTTCAAATATTTTTAAAAAGTTATTAAACTGATTGTTAGGATCCTCTCCTATCACCGAGAGTTCCCAGTCTACTTGGCCAATTTGATTAACAAAGTTGTTCATGTAGGGACCACCGATCTTTCTTTTAGTATGGAATGTACTTTCATTATGGTCAACTCTCAAACGAATAAGCAGAGCTTCATGGTCAGAGATTGCCGCTGGAAAGGTGTCTACTGAAAAATTAATTTCATCGATGTTTGTCAATGCAAGTTCCTGAAGTAAGGCTAATATGAGTGGGTTTCATTAAGTAATGCTGTAGCCCAAACATAGACATTAAATTGATCAACGCATTTGTTTCATTTGATTTTTCAATAACGTTAACATTAAAATCGCCGCATAGGATGATGTTTGTTTTTAAGTCAAAATTATCATATATAATCAGTAAAGACTCCTCAACTTTCTGCAAGAATGTGTCAAGTGTCGCATTGGGAGATCTGTACATCGATATTACAACAGTTTTTAATTGTTTTATGTAGCATGCGGCCATTTCGCACGTCAACTCATCGGATTGTGATGTTATGTAATTTAATTCCAAACATTCTATCTCTTTCCGACAGTAAATAGCAACACCTCCGTGCATATGTTTACTACGACAGAATGAGCTGACTAGCCGAAAATCACGTATGCTATACAGGTCGATTTGGTCGTTGCCAAGCCAATGTTCACATAGACAAAGAATGTTTATTTTATTGTCATGGACGACCTTTGTTAATGCCTCGGTTTTATTGGATAAACATTGAATATTCAGGGACATTATGTTGATCCAGTTTGACAATTTTTCTTTGTTTTTTCTCCCAGATGGAATAAAAAACGGTCCACACAGACTCCTTTTGGCCACACATCCGGAGATTTTATTCTTTCCTATTCACTCTCTGCAACGGAGACTTTGAAGGAGGCATATGTTTCCGGATGTTTTGAAGCCATTTTCTCACATTCAATATTCTTGAAATTTTTTTCATTTAAATAATTTTTTAGAGTTTCCGACGATGTTTCCGGTGCCAAGCGAAACACATGCAAGTGGGCCTTCCTCACAACTCCCGCGAGTGTAGTGCTCACATTTGTTCCTTCGATGGCCTTGTTTTTTCGTTTCGGCAACTTCTTTTTCTGGACCAAAGTCCAATTTCCATCGTCATTTGCTTTAATTGATTGTTGTTCAGCTTGGGTCGATTTAGCAGGCAGCTCCGTGTTGGCAACCGCATCTCGGAATGTTTCGGTTCTCCGCTTGTCCAATTCCTTCAAAGCAGTTGCTACTGCAACACTCACCTGTTCCTTTGAGACCTTACTAGCATTGCCACTGTTTTTATTGTTAGATTTATGTTTAGGCTTCTTGGATGCTGCTTTCTCAGTATTACCATCAATACTGGGTGCAGCTGACGATGCCTCTTTTTTCTTTTCATTTGTCTTTAATAATTGCAGCATCTTAATTTTTTCTTCAAGCTGCTGAATTATGTATTCCTTGTCCTTTATTATTGTCATCTTATCGTCTATTATCGTATTTTTGTCGATAATTGTTTGCGATAAGTGGTTTATAGTATCCATATGTTTGTCACTTGACACTTCACTGCTCACCTCACAACACTGTATCAAATTTCCAACAATGAATTTGAAACCTTTTCTTGTTGCACAACTCACATGGTAAATTTTGCCACAGTTCTTACAAACACCCACACTTGCAGATGGTTTTGTTTCACAGCAGTTGTAGGATTTTTTGGAATCCGATTCCGGAATAGTTAATTGTGTCAGAGACATTATGACACTTCAAAAAACACGTCCGCACGGTTCAACGGCTAACGAGCGATATATAAATGTATCGCTATGTATATCTATATATATATATATATATATACAAAAGACATTTCATAAATTAAAGTCCACAAGAATTAATACTATTTCAATAATCTCGAATTTATAAAATATTTATAAAAGAGCTAAATAATAGTAAGAAGAAAGTGAAGAAGGTATGAAAATATTAAAAAGTTACCTTTTGGGTTAATGATGTAAACTAACTCAATATTTTATAACGAGTCAAACACTACCTTCATTTTTACAGTATATAATTAATAAGGCATCATCATGCTTTAAAATAGCCCTCATTATGTTACGTAAATCTTACAATATTTTTCAGAGATATTTGCAGAGAACCTGATGACAGTTTATTGACAAATATTGCTCCTGAAACAAATGCGGACTCGATTGTTGATTCTTTAAATGTTAATGCTATCCAAATTTCTAGTAAGTCTTATTCTAAACCATTGCTAAAAGTATTATAATAATTTAAAACATACTTATTTACTAGATATGTATTATGTATAATTTATAGATCCACCTATAACACCTTCGAGTAGTTATCAATCTTCCGGGTTTCTTTCTCATAGAACCCAGCGGAGCTTTGGCAGTATTCAGGCGACTGAGTTAGAGGACATCTGCATTTACTCTGCTTTAAGGAAGATGATAGAATTTTGACTGTAAGTTTACTTATCGAATATTTAATAAATAAGAGAACGAAATGCACTTTGGTGCATTTCTAAATATGCAGTGGAGAGATACAAACAAAATGGTATATACGGACAAAATGATACAGTGGTCTTATTTAATAATTGGAAAGCCCTAATTATGTTAACGTGTAACGTATTAACGTATATCGCGTCTTCGAAAGTTTATTTATTAACTTCCCGTATTAGAAATCGTCCAAAAATCGAAATTGAAATTTTTACATTTCTTCACGTTTTGGAGGTTTCTGAACATCTTGGCATACATCAGAAAAAAATGATGTGTGTATGTATGTATAGACACAATTTTTCGTCCACGTTTTCCGGCGCGCGGATCAACCGATTTGTATGGTTCAAAAAGCACTCGATTTCTATCGATAGGGAGATGTGCTGATTAGGAGATACGGAGCAAAGAGTGCAGAAAAGAATTGAGTTTTTGAGAGATCGGAGCATCCGATTTGAATGATTCAAAAAACATTCAATTCGTAATGATGAGGAGAAGTGGTGATTCGTTTTTGGCAAAGGCAGGTCCAGCGGTTTCGGAGATACAGAGCTAAATGTGCACAAAATGGCATTTTTTGAGTGAACTAAGCGTCCGATTTGAATGATTCAAAGAACTTTCTGCTTATTTTAACAAGATAATTGCTTTAACAAGACAATGTTACAGTATTTATAATAATCTATATAAAAACATTTAATATTTCTCAAACATATTTCGTTACGGCACGGGAAGTTCCAGCAACTTGCCTCAAGGCACGATGTCATACACACCACTAGTTTATTTTTTATTCACTACTATATATTTACAATTGTCCAGTTAAGAACATTTAGTAAATTTGTGGAATTTACAACTGTCAGCCATAATAGGGACATTGTGTACTATAGTGACATGCTGGAAAAACAACTCAATAGTTGTTTTTCCCTTTGTTATGAATATAATATTAATAATATTTTAATGATAATAATATAAACTTAACTATTTTCTTCTAAACATTTTTGTATAAACTATACCTAAGTTATTTCAATCTTCATCAGGAAAATTGATGACTTAAATCAAGTGGTGACTTTTTGTTCAATCTACCTCATAGTTTTATGTTATTTTTGTTTAAAATTAACAATAAATATTATAAAACCGATGACCGCTTTGTTGGTTTTTGGACTACCTTTATGCTCTATGTATAAACTATTGTGTTATAATATGATAAATAATACGATATTTTTATTTAATGACTTTTAAATTTTAATAATATCTATTTATCTAAAAATAGTATAACAAATTTGTAAACAAATAAGAAAATTCAACAATACATAATTATTAGAGCAAATGTACGTGTAAAAACTCTAAAAGTCAAAAACAAAATAGATGGATTCTTGCTTAATTAGAGATAAAACACTCCAATGTAATCTTCAATTGATTCCTATCAAAAATAACACAAACATATAACAATAACATGTCCTTTGATGGATATTCAGAAAGGCGGTTTTTACATGTTTATTTCTAATCTCAAAAGTCGTTAAAGATTGATTTATTATATATACAATTATTAATTGATCTGTACTTATCATATCTAAACTAAACATATCCCAACAACGGGCCATCGTAAGCCTTTTATTGCATAAAACATAAACATTAACCTTGGCGAGCAGCGCTCGGGTTAGCCCGCTAGGATACGAGATCTAGGCGCGAGCAGTGTTCGTGCGTGACCGTTAAGTTTGCTCTAGTAAATTTGGATGACTGATTAGCTTGTTTCTATATTTATGCACTGTTTTATTACATCTTTTATGGTAGGTGTATTCGTGTCGAGATAAATCATCCAGTTCAGTTAAGGCAATTTTTATACATTTTTTTTGAAAGCTTATTTTGAAGGTGGTTTTGTCATGTTTTTTGGACTTTTTAATTATTTTTTTTCCTATTAAAGTCAATTAACATATATCAGTATCATGTAATTTTTTTGCAATGATCAGGTTTTTAATGGATTTTTGATTATTTATTCATTATTGTTCACTTTCGGACAAAATGATATACCTATATTATGGACAAAATGACATAGTATTATGTTGTAAGAACTACAGGATAGTTCATTGGGGCCAAGAAAAATTAAACTAATTTGATCCTATTCAATGTTAATGGCTTTTAACTTCTTATGAATTCTTGACTAACTACTACTGGAAACAGACCAAGGAATCCACTGGTAAAGAGACTTGTCATCTGCTGATGTCCCAAAGTAGTTTGTCGATGTCGATTTATTTTTGAACTGCCTTCTTAGCTAGTGGTGCATGGCATCGTGCCTTAAGACAAATTGCTTGTACTTCTCGTACTAGAAATCAATACTCGAGGGAAAAAAATCAGTTATCAATCATTGATCAATGATTAATAACAATTGTTTTAAGTATTTTCAAATAGATAATTTATAACTAATATATATCGCCTATATTATATAGTGACGACCTTATCGTATAAAACACTTGAGAATGTGTACATTAACATGCCGAATGAATCTATCTGAGATATATATTCCTTAGGATTAGAATAACACATATGAAATATATGCATTTTTAAAATGAATTGTATTCATTTTTTTGCTGAAATTTTTGATATTTGTTTGAACATTGCAAGTGAACTCAAAAAATAAAAATTTTTGGCACGGAATCGGAATCATTTTTAAAATCTTTATAAAATATAATATACGATACTTTGTTGAATATATGTCTAATGATAATTTTTGACCGTCAAATATCATTTCTTTTCTACTTTTTCTTTTCCACTGTATCTTTAAAACCGCTAGAAGTGCCTTGCCAAAAATTTAATAATTTCTTCGTCTATACAAGTCGGTTTTCGCTGTATAAATGGAAAATGATAAATAAAGACAGATGAAAGCATTTTGATTTTTGAAATCATGTCGGTTCAATAGCATTTTATATCTTATAAGTCTGCAATGGTTCCCAGAAATGTTTTGTATATATTAATTTAGATCTTTATACCAGTGTTTATATTAATTTAAATCAGTGTGACTTCTTCTTGAAGAAATAACTTTCACTACTCAAACTTAAAAAAAGAGTTTTAAACCCTAGAAGCCACAAATTAAAGAACAAAAAACTTAGAATTATTATATCAGCTTTAAAAATAATTAAGTATAATTTGGTCGCTAGTATGAGAGTATTTTCTATTTCAGGAAATTTTGCGAGTAAACAAAGGACACATCTAAGTAGCAATTCGATAGACGTTCTCAGTTTTTTTAATTAATTCTCAGTTTAAAATTAATTAATTAAAATTTCTCGGAATAGACAATACCCGAGTTTAGCTTAATTGTTTTTAAAACTAAAATTGATATTAACAAGTATGTATCAACATGTATCTAATATTTTTTTACTTTTATTTTTTAATTTAATGATTTTTTTTATTTATAAATGTATTATTTTTATTTATTCGAAAACTTTCCTTTCACTATCATAACAATATTTTTGTGAAAATGAAGCATAATATTTTTTTCAAAGTTATTAAATCAAGATAAACTATTATTTTTAGTTCTACTAATTAAAATTAAAATAATTTTGTTACTATCTATAAAGTTGAACAATAAATAAATACAGTCAAATCTGCTCTAAATTACACTAAATTTGCGGATAAATTACAGAATATTCGAGCAAAAATTTATTTTCTATATAAATTCAAAAACCCGTTAAAACCGTTTTTTTTAGTGAAATTAAAATTCGAAAACCGGTTTTCTGAAATGTCGGTTTTTGTATAAACCCTAATCGTAACTCTCTAAAGTTATATTTTACATTCTACACGCTTATGTTATTCGAAATTAAATTTAGTTGCAAGAAAGTTTTCATGATTATTTTAGCATTTGTTATTTGTAAAATAAGATAAAAATTTGTAAGATTCTATTAATATTTGGGCAGGTTGGGCCCCATGGCCCGGAAAAATACACTTAAAATAATAATTTTGCATTTCTCTTAATGACATAAAATTCACTGAACAAATTTTTCACGATTAATTCGCTTTTGTGAAATATTTGTTTTTTATTATTATATTGCTTACAGACGTTGGGGGCCCCGTATTTTTTATACGGCTGATATGGCGGTAGTTACGCCGCTGTTTCATTCAAACATGTATAAAACAACATCGTCTAATCTAATAAGTTTGCACATTTTGTTCACAAGGAACAAATAATGAAAATTCTAGTTTTTATAATATTTATTCATAGACATTTTTGTTGACTGATCATTTTTATTTTTCGGTACGGGAAGTTCCAGCAATTTGCTTTAAGGCACGATGCTATGCGCCCTACTAAGGTATGCCAAAATGTTCAGTAACATTTTAAACGTAAAGATATGCAAACATTTCCTTTTCGATTGTTTTGCGATTACTTTAGTTACATATAACTTAACCCTGTGGGAAGTTAATAATTAGTATATATATAACTTTACCTTATATGTCATTTTATATAACGA